TAAACGCAATATTTTCTATTTCTGTTACTAAATCTTCATGACCTGGATGAAACGGTAGCTGACGAAGGACTTCAATTAACATAAGACAAAATATAAATTCAACTGCTAGGTCACGTCGCTCTTGAAGTAAATCCGCTTCACTTTTTTCAGGCGCTGTTTCAACGTTACCGGAACCTGATACTATTGTGTACATAATACTTTTTCCTTTTTGATCCTCCTTTCCAGACGCTGGCTTCTTTTGATCGATACCCTGGTCGGCAAGCTGCCTTTCGTACCACCTGAATAACGCACGGACTATTGATGGAAGACAATGGTCAGCAACTGCACCAAATGCTGATAATAATTGATCAAACTGGGCATCTTCTCCGCGCTGTAGTACTTTTGATAGAGTTTTCTCTGTGTCTGTCATAACAGCTTCGATTTTTCTCTCCGCTTGAGCTGCAAAATCAGCGAAGAGGTTTCGCATTACAAATTCACCGGGTCGTAAGTCCATGTCTTCCATGTGTTGCGGTTTAACTGTTTCTTTTTGCGCACCCCAGGGTAGCACAACAGTAATGGCGCTCATGCGACTGGAACTAGTTTCTACAAATGAAAATAAATAATTTTAAAATATTGCTCATATCCAGAAAATATAAATAACTAAAAATTGAACACAGGAATTCAGGACAATAATTTCAAACTAAGTGTTAATTTTAGTTGAACGTTTCGTCCTTTTATTAGGACTTCCTCAGCAACTTAATTATACTAGTTCACATTTTAAAATATATTATTGTTGAAATATATAAATATAATGTTTAGGCATATAAATAATTGAAAAACCTAAATTATTGAAATTGTTAAAATTTGATATAATAATTTACTTATTACTTTGTACTTAAATAATTTATTATTATTATATATTAATATTATCATTATTATTATTATTATTATTATTATTACTATTAATATGTTGTAATTATGTTTAAATATGTATGTATCCTTCTGGTTCTATGTACAGGTTTTAGTTATTTACTTTAAATTTTAATAATTTTTACTTTATTTATAACTTACCGTAACCAGAAACAGATGTATTAGCGGTGTATATGCTAGAAACATCACTGCCTTCACCTTGCACAGATCCATGTGATGTCAAAGAGTCTGGACAAGCAACCAACGTTTCAACTCCACTCTCTTGTGAACCATCACCATGACCAGCTCTCGAGTCATTTGTTTCTAAAAGAAGCAATTTATTAATATTTTTTTACTCTCTTATTTTTAAATGTTTGTAATGAGAATGTTAAAGTTGGTGGTAGTGATTGTTTAGCTCAATTGATAATCCTAGACATTGGACTCTACTGATAGATGAAGCCCTGTGCTTGTGCATAATAGATACCCACACTGTTCTACTAACTTAATTACGATGTACTTAACATTGATGGATATAATCAGCATTGAATATGGTTTATATGACATTGAACGTTGTTCTTACCTGAATGAGTTTCGTCTCCACCCAGTTGATTTTCCATGTCTGAAAGCAGATACAACTTTTTTTTTCGTTGATAGTATACTTGTTAAAAATTTATGATAAATTATTACGATTTGGGGAAAAGTACTTTAGAATTTTATTTATCAACAAATTTTACAGTAATAAAAATAAGTATTGCGAATTTTGGCAAATTTAAGTAACCTTGTTTTGAAAACAACTCAGTCATTGCAATAAAAATATATATATATATTAAAAAATACTCAATATAATAAATTATTTCAATTGACAAGTAATATATCAATTTATGATCAATGTAGTTATAAAATGAGTTATGGCTGAAGTTTAAATTAATAATTGTTCAATGGAAATTAATGATATAGAAAAATAATAATTTAAATGTCAAGATTATTTTCTAATTTTTATTTCTAATTAAATTAAATAATTCATAATTATTTTTAAAAACACAAAAATTACCGGATTATTATTTTCACTGTCACTTGTCAATAATAAATAATAAATAATAAATAAAATACCTTCAGCCATGGTTTCTATACTTGTCTCATTGTCAGGAGACATTTTAAACAAAAGCCATTAATCCATATCTGTAAAATACAACAATATATCAATTATCTAATAAACAAAGATAATAGAAATAACAACAATCTTAAACATAAATAAATAAATATTCAACATCACAAATCAATGTCTTTATGATCACTATTAAGTTGTTAAATACTTTTACTGTTGATACTAAATTGTCAATAACTGATATAAACAAACAATAAAAATTATTCAACTGCAGTAAGTAAATAATTATCTTTGAAATCCGGAAAAACTTTCAAGTTTTTATTATCCGCATTAAATAACAAATACTTTTGTTGAAATATAATTCAATTAATATAATACCTCGTACAGATAAATTAATGTATTGTACAATTAGTGCGTAGTGAATAACAAAAAAAAATATATATATATATATATATATATATATATATGTAACAAATAAATATCACGTCATATCTTTAAAGCGATAACCTCAAACATCAATTTTATTTCCCGCTACAATTAGAGTTTTAATAAAGGATTCAATAGTTTTAAGTCATAAACTTATTTTTTATCTAATAGTAAAAAAAGATAATCCTTGAAACTTTCACTGGAATTTGTATAATTAGCTTAAATAAGTTTATATATTATTAATTCAATTCTGACGTTTATAACAATGGAGACTTAGTATATAAATGTATATATGTGTTTAGTGAGCATTTGTGTGAGTAAAAAATATATTTATGTGTATATTTGAATGTATTTACTGTACTATTTGTTTTTTTCTATACTAGGCATACTCTAGAAGTCTACTAACTCGCCTAATCGCGCAGAGCTTTATTAGATTTTCTTCAAAATATTTTGAATAATTAAGAATTTATTTACTTTAAATCCTTGATCTTGAGCTCTCAGCCGTTCAATCCAGGGTGCTGGTACCTAGTGACTAAACTTCAAATTAATCGCCAATTTTTTTTTTTTTTTTTTTTTTATATTCTTCAATCATTATATTTTTTTGTTTTATTACTTGCAATTTTTCTGTAAAATTTATGTCCTAAAATAATTATCAATTTTTAAAATATTTATTTCTTTTTTTTATAAATATATTAGATTGTTTTCTTATTATTGCACTAAAAGAGCTTATTTACTTTATTTTAATAACTTCAGACTAAATATTATATGTAAATATTTGCTGTATTAATTTATTCAACTTTTTTACAAGTGAGGATTGATTTGAATGAATGATTTTATTTGATGATAAAAAATGGAGAGTAATATTAACTGTGTAATGCGATATAAATATAATTAAGATAACTTATCGATAAACCCAAATAAATTTTAATACACCTCAGAAGTGGGCTAAACTGTTAATAATCATCATAAGTAAAATCTTTAAAATCTGTATACAAAAATTTTAATGATAAATGAAAATTAATTTAGATATTTTACAATTTTAATAATTATTTGAATAAATAAATTACCAGATAAAAAAATGAGAAAAAAAATTGACATTTAGAAAATTTAATAAATTAAAAATGCAATTAAAAAAAAAATTTTTTTTTGTTCAATAAAATTAAAAAATGGTCAAGTGACAGCTAACTTTCATTTAAAATTATTAATTATAAACTTTTTTATTCCAAATATTTGTTTTTTTTTTTAAGAAAAATAAAATTTTATATATTAAAAATAAAATATAAAATTTATAGATAAAAAAAATCACTGAAAAAGTGTTACGTGACAATTTCAGACTTATAAAACAGTTTATTTTCAATCTAAAAAAAAGAAATCCTGAAATTTAGTCAAAGAACATTAATATTAAGAATTAAGAAAATCTTTTCTCATGCGAATTAAATAAAAAATATAGCATTTCACCCGTCATATCTCGATACTGTACATCATATTCTATCCCGCGACACGTTTAGCAATAATCTATTATTTGCAAGGTCCGCATAATCGGTGAATAGTTTTAACCGAATCTATTAATAAATTAAAACAACGAGATGCAGATGTAATGTAGATGTTTAAGTCGAGCACGAGTGCTCCATTGAACTTTGGGACTCTAGCGATGTCAGAAGTCCTGGCTGTTAGCCAGGGTTACGCAAGTCTTCGTCCCCTTAACCTCGTTTGAATTTGACCTTGTGTCTTGTCCCAGGGCTATCAAAAAAAAAGAAAACCCTTTTTTTAAAAAATTCCTTACAATTACCTTTTTTTTCACACCTACAAAAAAATTTTACCCAACAATTACTGTTTAAAAAAATAATAATTACTTTTAAAACTCACAATTTAATTTTCATGAAATTTAACTCCCTGGAATTTATCGATTTTCTTCCAGAATCATATTTCCCGCGTATTTTCCAAAGGCGCTGTCAAAAACGCCCTAATGTCAACTGCGCGCGCAACTACCTTGACATTCTCCAATCAATCTCGACGCTGAAGCAAAAAAATTATCTGAATCACGAAAAAAACTAAATTTAAAATTAAATAATAAATTAAAAAATAATAATTTGAATTATAGAGAAGAAATAGTTATTTTTGAAACGAAATTTTAACTCTCATGACCCTGACACTGTCTTTTGGTTGTCAATATCCGGAAGTGACGTTTTACGCGGGCAGTAGCCTAAACTCAAATGAAAAATAATTCCTTAAGCAATAAGCCATTGAAAATATATTAAATGTGATGTAAAAAAGCCAAAATATGATCTTGAACATTTAAATAACAATTTTAAAAGAATAATAATGTCAGTGTAAGACATTTTAAGTGTCAGGGTTTTTAGGCGAATATCTCTAAAGTTTGCGCATGCGCCAACACGTGACCTGCGCAGCTATTCTTAGCGGAGATGGTCGCTTCAACGAGAAGAACTCTGCCTCGCTCACTCGTCGTCCGGCGCGCGTCCATAATACACTTAACACAATCCTAAGGAGATTTTAGATCTACACACTCTCCTCAATCTTCCTTTTTCAAAGTAACCCGTTTGTTTAATATAAATAATTAAAAATGTCGAGTTTCGATCCCGTCGCGTTCGCTAAGGACTTTATCGCTGGTGGTTGTGCTGCCGCGATCTCCAAAACCGCTGTAGCGCCAATTGAGCGTGTCAAGTTGCTGCTCCAGGTCCAGCACATCTCCAAGCAAATTGCTGAGGACCAGCGTTACAAGGGTAAGTTTTATTTTTCATTATTTTACTCACCTCAAAAAACAAACTCACCAAAATTATGTCATTAGTTCAGGAGCTAATTTCGGCGACCGCGTGGTCGGACGCATAAAAGAAAAAGAATAAGTTTTTAAAATTAAATGAGTGTTCTTAAACATGTGATCAGAATTGTGCCATTGTCATTCAATATATAAAATTACTTGAGTATTAATTTTTAAATGCAGGTGCATTTGTAGGTTTTCCCGTTACGTAATGGATGATAAAAAAAAATGGATTTTCAAGTTATACGTAACGGTGTGCTCCGTATAAAAAGTTTTCGGTTTTTTAATAGAATATCTTTATGTAACAATGATTTTAGCCAACTATTACATAACTGAATGATTTTTTAATATATAGTTATAGATATAATAGAACAAGTGTACAGTTGGGCATTTTTGCGGGTGGATCGATATAAAATGAAATGTCTGCCAGATGGCGTCCTAAAGATTTGCTTCCTTTCATTAACGTTCATTTTTCTCGGGTCAATCGATGACGATGCGGCACAATATGGCTGTCTTGTTACCACGATCACGATCCAGAAATTTCTTTTTATTTTATTTTATATTTTTTATTTAATTTTATTTATTATTATTTATGACAGAAATAATTAAAAAAAAAAAAATGAAGTCAAGTTCTGAGAACTTGAAGTTCAAGGTTGTCTTTAAAATTTCACAAGCTAACTTCAAATGATCGATAATCGTTCTTTTGAAGGCCACGTTATTCAGGTCAGGTCCGTGGATTTAGATAATGAATTTTTTTTCTATTTTATTTGTTGCAAGCGGTTTTAGTTGATTATGAAAGAGGTAGATGAAAATTTTAAAGGGGAGATTTAGATGTTGAATTCACGACACGTGACCTCGATTCTATATCAAGTGAATTAGAGTCCGGTTATGGCTGGTTTACATTTGATTATACTTGAATGTCACTATTACTATAAAGACATGGTAAATTTTAAATAAAAATGTTATTATGGCTGATTGGATTTAAAGTGATAATTAATTTTTATAAATTTGTTTTTAAGGTATGGTCGATTGTTTCGTCCGTATCCCAAAAGAACAAGGTTTCCTCAGTTTCTGGAGAGGTAACTTCGCCAACGTCATCCGTTACTTCCCAACCCAGGCTTTGAACTTTGCCTTCAAAGACAAGTACAAGCAAGTTTTCTTGGGTGGTGTTGACAAAAACACTCAGTTCATGCGGTACTTTGCTGGTAACCTTGCATCTGGTGGTGCTGCTGGAGCTACATCACTTTGCTTCGTCTACCCACTTGACTTCGCCAGAACCCGGTAATTATATCTCTACAATTTAATTTTACGAGTAATTAATAGATAATATCTAATTGCAATATTATATTGACTAGCAACCTTGCAGTCACTATGTGACTGCCGTGACTTTTGTTAAATTACACTGTACTTTCTTAAATATTGAAGTTTTTAAAGATATAAGCTCATCCTGATGTTACACTCATCAAGAGCTTTCATTTGAGTACCCACATGCATTTTTGATATATTTTTCATATATAAAATATATATAAATATATAAAATATATGAAAAATTGATGTGGGTACTCAAATGAAAGGTCTCGATGAGTGTAATGTCAGGATGAGCTTATATCTTTAAAAAAGTCAATAGATCACAAGATACAAGGTTATTTTTTAATTATTGATATTTTTAAAAATATAAGCTCATCCCGATGTTACACTCATCAAGAGCTTTCATTCGAGTACCCACATGCATTTTTTATATATTTGTCATATATAAATATATAAAATATATGAAAAATTGATGTGGGTACTCAAATAAAAGGTCTTGATAAGCGTAACATCGGAATGAGCTTATATCTTCAAAAATGTCAATAGTTCACAAGATACAAGGTCATTTCTTAATTATGTATCTAGAGATATACTAAATTTCACTTAAAAAAAAACCCGATTTTATCATATGACTATCCTGGACACAAAATTTATCTTATTCTCTTAATAATACAGATGATAACTTGATTTATAGATTGGCTGCTGATGTCGGTAAAGCTGGTGGTGAACGTGAGTTCAGTGGTCTTGGAAACTGCTTGACCAAAATCTTCAAATCTGACGGTCTTACCGGATTGTACCGTGGATTTGGTGTATCAGTCCAGGGTATCATTATTTACCGTGCCTCATACTTCGGTTTCTATGATACCGCTCGTGGTATGTTGCCTGACCCCAAGAAAACTCCATTCCTTGTCTCATGGGGTATTGCACAGGTATGTAACCGGACTTGGTCAATCTTATCATACAATTTATTAGCAATTAAAAAAAAAAATAAATAATTAATAAAATATTTTTTAATACTTAGGTTGTCACCACTGTAGCTGGTATCGTATCTTACCCCTTCGACACAGTACGTAGGCGTATGATGATGCAGTCTGGTCGTGCCAAGTCCGAAATGTTGTACAAGAGCACACTCCACTGTTGGGGAACCATCTACAAATCCGAAGGTGGCGGTGCCTTCTTCAAGGGAGCCTTCTCAAACGTTCTCCGTGGTACTGGTGGTGCTCTTGTGTTGGTACTCTACGACGAGATCAAGAACCTTCTGTAAAAACTTGGACCCTCCCTCCTTAACCCCATCAGTGATCCTTCACCTTCATGATTAAAACACACAATCACAATCATCAACACGAATAAATTTAAATTTAAACTAAAAACTGAAAAGTCCAACTAAATGCCACAATATTCCCTTAAATTTAAACATCAATAAATAGAAACAACTGTCACGCCCTAGCTCTCGATCTGCGCGTTATAATAATTATCAAATTTGTCGACCATTTTTTTAAGTAACACTCTTTGTAATTTATATAAATTAATGACGAGATTTATTTAACTAGTGGCTCACAAATTTTATTAAATAACAAACCTTGGCACACTAAAACAATATTCAAGTGTCGGTTTGTTTATGTAAACTTAATATTATTAATAGAGATTTAGATAATTTTAATTTACTTCTTTTTCTTTTTATTTTTCCTTTTTATTTATTGCCGAATTCAGTATTTATTTTTACAACGGCACTCGGCCCGTCTAATAAAATATAAAAATAAAGAGAAAAATAATTAATTTAATAATATTAATATTTTAATTATTATACAAATATTTTTGTCTTTTTTTTTTTTCATTAGTATATTTTGCTTATCGCGTAACACGTGCGCTTGCGTTGTGGATCGCGGGCGTGAACATTTGTTAAATAAATAAAATCAATAATAACAACAACAACAACAACAACAATTAAGATAAATATTAAGTGATGTAAGCGTGAGTTAAAATCACAGCTTAAAAAAAAATATCTAATGGACAATGCGCGTCCTTGAGATTGCGAAGATCATTGAATTGTATACAAGGGAAGATTTATTTTATCAAGAAGAATATTAAATAATTCATTAATTAAGTAATTGATGAATAGTAATGATAAATACCTAATAAAACAAATTAAAAAAAATAAATTAATTAAACAAAGACAGGGGACGTGCGACGAATCGAAGATCCATCGACGGCGATGGCGGGGCACGTAGACCTGGGCTGCCCCCGCCCTTAATCTCGGCCCATTGTAGATAATTAATAATGCGTAATTGATAATTATTAAATACGAAATAAAATTTAATTAAAAAAAAACAAGATCATCTTTAATTATTAACAGTATCCGTGAACAGTACACCGAGTTTAGGGGGATGATTACTGGAAAAAAAAATTAAAAATTTAATACTTCACTTTACAGATATGTCTGTGTATACATCTAATCTGTTCATGTTAGGATGTATGCATGTTTAATGAAAATCAATAAAAGAAAGTCGAAGTTATATTTATTGTGTTGTTATTTTTAATCCTAATTCTTTAATTAAATATTATGATAATTAAATTAGCTATTTTATAATTTTTTTTATTAAAAAAATTTCTTTTGGAGAAGATTTAAAAAATTATAATCTAATATTTAATTTTTTTATAATTATATCTATTTAGTACTACAAGTTGATTTATAAATACTTATGTTACCTACTTTAATTGATATATCTCTTTGATATGCAAAAAAAAAAAAAACTAATGTTCATAGTACTCGCTCTACATTTAGTATCTAAAGGTCAAGAGATTGAGGTCGTGCGATAAATAAAATTCGTAAGTATCTTCTATGTTGTCTAGTGTCTCTAAATATACTTAGAGTATTGTTATGAATTTATTTTAAAAATCAGTTGACAAATATGTGTAATGAAATAAAATAAGCTCTCGTAATCAATAAATGATGATAGTGTTTATTGATAAAAATAAAAATAAAAAAATAATTGGAATGTTTCATGCTTTATGATTTAAAATATAAATTTGAAGGCATCCTACATGATTAAAAATCCTGAAATCAAAGAAAAAATCGTGTTATATTTATTTTATTAATGGTCTGAATTACAAAGTACGTATTTTAGAGACGTAAATAAAATAAAAATACAAATTTGGAATTTACGTTACTTCAGTTGAACATCGTAGGGTATACATGAAGTTTGTTATAAACAATTGGCAACTTTTGATTATTTATATGTAATTAATAAACTAATTACTTAATTAAGAAAAAAATTACAGCTACTTATGGAATGAAAACTTAAATGGACGAGGTGAAGAAATGCGTGTAGATATTTACAATGATTAACTTTTAAATTATTATTTTTAATTGTTGAGCTTAATTATCTTATTTTTTTAAATTAAATATTTAATAATAAGGTCATACAGTTGTTCTATTAGAGTCGCCAGCAAGCATGTCCATTACTCGACTGATTCCTGGCATGTTTAAAAATGTTCCCAAGATAGGCACTCGGCGCAGGAAGTTTATTGCCACTGGTAAAAATCCACTGAAATAAAAAAAAAAATAAAATAATCTATATTATTAAGAAAATTCTCTATTTCTAGATACATAATTAAGAAATGACCTTGTATCTTGTGAACTATTGACATTTTTACAGATATAAGCTCTTCCTGATGTTACACTCATCAAGACCTTTCATTTGAGTACCCACATCAATTTTTCATATATTTTATATATTATATATATGTATGTATGAAAAATATATCGAAAATGCATGTGGGTACTCAAATGAAAGCTCTTGATGATTGTAACATCGGGATGAGATTATATCTTTGAAAATGTCAATATTCAAAAAAGTACAGTGCAATTTAACAATTATCTTGTGAACTATTGACATTTTTAAAGATATAAGCTCATTCTGACATTATACTCATCGAGACCTTTCATATGAGTACCCACATAAATTTTTCATATATTTTATATATTTATATATATATATGTTATATATATGTATATATGAAAAATATATCAAAAATGCATGTGGGTACTCAAATGAAAGCTCTTGATGAGTATATATATCATCAGGAAGAGCTTATATTTGTAAAAATGTCAATATTTAAGAAAGTACAGTACAATTTAACAGAAGTAACTATTTAATAAATTGTGTAAATGCAATAGTATAATTTCTTTGATCATCACTTGTTATCAACAATAAAATAAATAAACTAAACATGCTCTAGTAAAAAATAAATTACCTGAATAATAAAACAAATCCATATGTTTCTAAAATCATTCCAACAAGAGGCCATCCCATGAGGACAACAATAATACCTCCTAGAAAAGCTAAGCTAGCTTTGAGTTTATGCCTCTGGAAAAAAAAACTTAGCGTCCGTCTGGGCCCAATTACACACCCTAGTCCCGAAATAAATAGAAGCTGAAAAAAAATAAATTTACATAAGTAAATACATTAAAAAATTCTTTTAAATAAATTACTTACATTTCCTATGGCTAATAAACCCTTATCAAACAACAATAGTACTCCTAGGAAAAGAAAAAACATTCCAAAACCAGCTAGACCTACTCCGATTTCTATAAAAAAAAAAATAAATTAGGGATCAATTTAAAAATGTACTCCATAAACATTATTAAAAATCTACTGTAAGTTGATACTTTTATGATTATTGATTACTTACTCTGTGTATCCGTTATTTCAAACATATTTTTATTTATTTATTAACTATTATATATTATATATTATTTATTTAAATATAATACATATATTTTCAGTTTATATCTAAATACACGAGCTATTTTCACTGATACAGAAAATCCTAACCTAGCATCCACGTCACTCAATATGATCAGGCATGATTTTATACGTGTCTAATAATTACGTAGGTATATACTAAAATTTTTTCGTATTAATTTTTATAACTAACTAATTAATTTATTTATTTATTTAAAATTAATTAAAGTAAAAAGACAATATTGTAAAATTTATTTATTTTGTTTGAGGAAAACAGGTTAAAGGATTTTTATTTATTTTTAATGAAGGTAAACAATGAAAAAAAATATTCTAGTGTTATTACAAAATAAAAATAACTTTATTACACTTATTCTATCATTTATAAATTTATAATAATAATATAGAAGCTTTTTATAATTATATTTTACAAATTGTTATTTTTAAATTAAAAGTTTCAGAAAAATAAAATATGTATAATATATATATAGTAATTCTCTCAGTTATTTAAAAATATGGCTTGCGAGAATTTCTTGACCAATTATTAAATAATTGTTATTATTTACATTTATTTATTATGGTAAAAACTAGGAATAAAAATTAGTTTTTTTTTTGCGAATAAATTCAACCAGAACTCCAATTATTTATGACCGAGTAATTGAGTTGTAAAACATGCCTTTTGTCTGAGTCATGGTACTCTGGGATTTTTTTGTTGAATAATTTCAACACATCAAAGATGATCTCAGCCACTGAAAGTTACAAAATTAATTATTATTTATTAATAATTTGGAAGGTTTTATTATTTTTTTTTTAATTAACTTACTTCAGATAAATTTAGTTTTATACTGCCGTTTTGTAAAGGATCTTTTCCTTCAAAGATAGCTGGAAAAATATTTTAAGAATTAGTTTTTTTTAAGATATGCTTTTAATTAAATTAAGAGTATCTTGCAATTTAAATATCTCACAATATTTTATGACAAACAAAAATATAATAATAAACTTAGCCGACGTTTTTAATTTTTTGATTTTTGTTTATTAAAAAAATTATAACAAAAAAATATTTTTTATAAATTGCACTTGAAATTTTTCAAGTTTTTTACATATGAATTTTTTTTAAAATAATTTTTTCAATAAAAAAAATTCCTAAATGTCGGCTAATTTAATTTTCATAAAAATAATTCATTTTTTAAGATTCAACTAATTTTGGCTTAATGATTTTTTAATATTTTTAATCACATTCATAATTTTAATTCTTTTGAAATAAATTTTAAAAATAATAGTGCTCTAATAAGATTAATTACAAATAATTTAATGAAAAAATAACTTGGAATAAATTTATATAGCCAAAAAACTATTAAAAACTTCTTTAAAAATTTAACATAAAAAATTGACTACTAAAAAAAAAAAATAAAACCAAAAAACACAAATTTTTATCAAGACTTTTCTAATAATAATAATAATAATAATAATAAATAATCATTAAAAACTTATAAGTAATTTTTCTTTAAATTACTTTAATGTTAACAATAATATTTTCATTAATAAAGGTGTTTATTGACATAAAATATTTATTTTTATAATAAAGAATATTAAAGCTTTAATAAATTTTTTAAAATTATAAAGATTGTACTTTTAACATCCACAAAAACTTGATTGGTAATTTAGAATAAAAGCGAAGAAAGTGTTATGTACAGTATTAAGTACATAATTTTTTCATACACAAAGAAACTTACTTAATTTTATAAATTTAATAAAGTTAACGCACTCATCACTAATTGTTTTCTTTTATCATAAATAATAATCCATTTGTGTACATATTGAATGAAGGTGCATATAAAAAACCAACAAAGAAAGTTTCTTTATGCGATACTAACCGTAAATGATCAAGACTTGAATACCATGAGTGTAATTAAATTACTATTACTATTATATTTATTACAAAGCAGTTTCTATAACTAAAGGAACACTTTCATTGCGATGTGAGTTTCTCAAAATCGCAGTTTACATAACACCATCCACTCATGCTTGTATTGTTAAAATGCTTATCATTAACAAAACATGTTACTTAAATCAAAACAAGCCTCTTTCAATCACATTCAATTTTTTAGAGGCTACTATATTATTTATGGAGAAATTATTTCTGCGGGTCATTCACTTATCAGTCTAAAGATATTTTTTTATTGCAAGATAGCTTAAAAATAAATATTTTATTTACCAAATGCATCACTCAGATGTAAAATTGCTGATACAAAATCACCAAATCTTAAAGTTCCGTCTTTTCTCATGTATCTGAGAATTAAAACAGCTAAAACTTCGGTATTTAATTGGAAACCTGTAATTAAATAATACATTCATAAATTGTGAATAAAAATTTATTAAATATTATTTTATATATAAATATTTTTTGTTAAATTGCACTGTATTTTCTTAACTATTGATATTTTTAAAGATATAAGCTCATCCCGATGTTACACTCATCAAAAGCTTTCATTTGAGTACCCACATGCATTTTTGATATATTTTTCATATATACATTTAATAATATATATAGATATATAAAATAGGTCATTTTTTTAATATGTATCTAGAGATAATAAAAAAATAAAAATTTATGAAAAAATAATTAAATAACAAAAAAAAATTTATGAAAATTGTATATTTGAAAATGAAGTATTTACTCACCAACTTCTATAAGAGCGTCACGTAGTCTTTCAGCCTTGAGAATACCAGTTCTTTCTTTTGTATGATTTTTAAAAGCTGCTTGCCAGTATTTCAAACTACACATTAGATCTTTGAAGTCATTAAATTCAAGTCTGCCGCTACCAGAGTTCTAAAAAAATTTTGTCAAGGAGCAAATGTATTCATGAGTGTCAGACGTTTGTACATAACTGTATCTCTAAATCTGAATTTCAAAGTATATAAAAACAACAACTTTATCGCGACGCAATATTTGCTCATTACATACGCTTCATTCAAATACGTAATGATTATATCAATCAAATTACATGCAAATATTATATCAACTCAAATAAAGCTCAAATACTTCAGACAATACAGCTTTTGTAAAGATATTTTTAGATACAGTTCTATGAAGTTAAAAAAAAAAAAAGGATACATCCATTGTAAGTACTACTTGTCGACAAACTTCCATAGAAGCACAGCTTTTGATATAATCATTTGGAAGACATGCCTCGAGCAACTCTTGAAGCTCAAATGCATTAACAGTCTTATGTTCATCTGCTAACTGAAGAAATACTGCTTCGTACTGTGAAAATCCTTTGCCTTCTAAAGCTGGAGCCTTGACAATAGCTGATTTTATTAGCGTCGGAACGGTATCTAGTAATCTATAATAAAAATAAAAATTATTAGCATCAGTTAATTCAAAAATTTTTTAAATTATGCGTTACTAAAGCCTAAAATTGTATAAAAAAATTTATTTTCAATTTTAAAAGGTGAGAAAAGTTAAAAAAATTTTTTTTCACATTTTGGCTGTAAGAAAAAATTTTTTATACGCCTTTTTAGCATTAGTAATGCGATTTATTAAATAATAACAATAATTACTTGAGTTTAAGAGGTTTATTACTGTAAACTCTTAATGTAAAATTAGTTTCTTGTCCAGGTTCAAAAGTAGTTGGTATAAGCAAGTATCCACCTTGTTCAAGAAGACACCTATGACTGACTTGTCGACTATTTGTATATTGCGAATTGACAAGTGACTTATTTTTCTTGAAAAATTGTCTGTTTATTGACTCCGTGCTGCTCTTTGGCAATGTATACGCCGTAAAACCAATTACCTTTAATATAGTAAGACAGTAATAATTACGCAAATAACGAGTATTTATAATGAATTTAAAACTAAATTGTTATAGTATATTAAATAATAAGACGAGCATAAAATTACTAGTGCAAAAAGCGCACAAGTACCTTTGGTTCCATAATTGAATGTTGATTCAAGGACACAATAACTTCTTCCATTTCGCTTAAAATTAAGTGTAATTGTGGATTTATGTGAAATGTTTCTGTTAATAAAAATAAATTATTATAGCAACAATAATAATTCTAGATAATAAAGAACTTATTATGCAAACCTTGATTATTCCTACATCCACCTGCAGTAACTCCGCGTCTCCAGCTACCTTGGTACAGTTTCATTTGCCATGTGTGTTTACTGTGCAACGAGGGCTCGTCTCTTGAAGTTTCTGCGTCCAAATGTACAACCTCCAAGTGCGTGAATGTCTTCACGAAGTCAGAGTACGAGATCCAAAATTCTCCTTCAGCCATATTCCGAACTGCCAGACGATCTCTTTCGATGATCGGCACTTCGTCCCATTCGAGACTTCCGCGGGCCCAGGCGCCGATATATTCACCTCCAGGACCCAGTGGGTTGCGTAATTTTACTAATTGTATTGCTTCACCTCCAAATGTTTCTACCTGTTGATTTATTGATTTATTTATTCATTTCATTGTCATACACTGAGAACTTTCGTTATATTGATCTGTACTTTCTCAAATATTGACATTTTTAAAGATATAAGCTCATCACGATGTTATACTCATCAAGAGCTTTCATTTGAGTACCCACATGCATTTTTGATATATTTTTCATATATACATATATATAATATATATAAATATATGAAAAATTGATGTGGGTACTCAAATGAAAGGTCTTGATGAGTGTAATGTCAGGATGAGCTTATTTCTTTAAAAATGTCAATATTTAACAAGATAAAAGGTCATTTCTTAATTATGTATCTCAGTGAAGAATAGTATGACCCATAAAAATATTTAATGATTGCTTTTTTCAGTACTTTTGTTCTAGTTTTTTATTTCTAATTAATTCGTGGAATGCGTTGATAGTATCCCAAGGATTTGTTAGAGGACGTTCTCGAAGATATATGAATCAGGTTGGACAGTTGATAAGTAAAAAATATATTTTCCGCCGCGTAATTATAAACAATTTTAATAATTATTATGGGCAACTGATGGTCTTTATACATTAAGAATAGTCAACTTTTTACGCCTACATTCAATTTATATCTATTTTTATTAGACGATTATTGATTGACATTATAAGTTTAAAAAAAAATGATAAGTAATAACAATAATATTTACCCTCTCGATTGCATAAAGCCTGTAATTAATCCCCATTTGAATTCCATTAGCAAGTTTTTCATTGCTGGTCCGTATCTGCTGTTGCTGTTGCTGATTATTGTTGTTATTATTAACTGTACAAGTAATAAGTGAAGTCATATCAAGAAGCTTAGCAAGTGCTCTGCCACATCCAGTGGGATCTTGACGTATAGCAATACTTTCCGTAATTCCGCCAGTGAGATCAGAAAGTCCGTCCAAAAGTGTTCCGTACTTTAGCGCTTCATATGATCCATGTAATCTAAAATAAAATAAAACCAATTAGACAAAATCAGGATTCTTGTTAAGAAATCAAAGGTGAAACACTTTAAACTCAAAATAATTATAAATAATAAATATAAAAAAAATTTAAACAACTGGAAAGTTTTATCCAGATAAAGATTACTCAGAATAAAATATAAATAAGAAAGCCTGGTTCTTTAATTTAATCTTATTTGTTTTCTTCCAGACGAGCGATGATTAAAATCTTTAATTTATTTACTCTAATGAACCACATTAAGTGTAAACACAACACCTGAATTACTTTTAAAGTTAACTCGGATTATTTTATTGTAACCATTCTCACACGTGGATGTGTAAGTATGAATTCCATGAGTACGTTCTCAAGGAAGAACCTCTTACAAACTGTAGCGAGCTAGACATAGCTAACGCGCAATCAACGCAGCTCGTTTTATTCAGTTAAAACATTACATTTCCTCCTTGCTAAACTATTTCTTCACTCTTTTTTTTCTTCCGTATATGAAATAAAAGTATATAAAAGTACAAGACTCCTCTTCAATCTTTAATGATTATCGTTTCTATTAATCGGCATGTTATTAATTTATTTTTCCCTTACATCTCAAGCAAGAGTTATCCTTTTTTATTAACAACTCCGCGCTGATGTATAAACTCTAATAATGTATTATTTAAATTAATTACAGGTGAAAAGAAAGAAGATTATTGTTATTATCATAATTCATAATCATCCAAGTAGTCTGTTAATTTTATTAACTAAATATATATGTATTGAAATGATTAAAGCCCATGGACGGTGGGCATAAGTACACTGACCTCGGGTCTATTGATTCGCAATTGTAATAGTAATAAAAATTACAATAACATCTATAATATATTTACTGCAAGTGAAAGTATGATGGTTATAACAAAATTGATTTAGCATACAATAAATCAAGGACAAATATAAATACCTTTTGGTCAGTAGAGACAGGTATTATGGTACTTATCGGAATTGTAGCAAAAAAATAAAGGTATTATAATATTTTCGCAATGTATAAAAAATAATTATTGTTTTATGTTACAATATAATGAGAGAAAAAAATTTATTCTGAAGAAATGGACGTTATTTTGACAAAAAATTAATTTTTTATAACTTTTAAGTAAAAAGAAATTATTATTTCTTAAATAATAATAATAATAATAATAATAATAATTTAGTAATAAATAAATTAAAATTTGAAAACTTGCGAATTTTCATAAAAAATTTTTTTTTCCAAATTTAGAAAACTTTTTTTTAATAAAAAACTTTTGATTTTTTCAGCTAATAAATAAAATTGTTTAAAAATTTCAAAAAATTAAATTTTTTATTGCAACATTATTCATTTTTTTTAAATTTTTCTATTAGTGCATTTATTTAATTAAAATTATGTTATTTTTTAATAAAATAAATAAATCTATGTCATTTTATTACAATAATCCTTTTAATAGAAACAACTATTAATTATTTTCAACTAATCTAAATTAAAAATACTTTTATATAAATTTCTATCCTCGATTTAATTGAATAAAGTTTTATATTGTAATTGCATCAATAATACATTTATTTATTCCTTCAAATTATCGTTTCTAGTGTAATTGTATTTTACTTTCTTTATGTAAATTTAAACTAATTATAATACGAAAAATATAGATTAATTATTCATAAAATTTGTATTTTTTTTAGCAAATAATATAAATAATACAATTAACAAAAATAATTTTTCGCAAAAGAATTAAATAAAATTTTTCCTTTTAATGAAGTAAATAAAAAATAAAATAATAGTAATTTAAATAAATATTTTTGTGATTAATGACCTCAATAACGTTGGTTAACGATCCCGTGAATTGTAGGTCCATATCCAGGATATTAAATAGAGAGAAAGAAGAAAGAGGACATGCTGGTGGAGATGAGAGTGGTGAAAGCGTCTGGTGCATTATTGGAACGAGCATTTATATTTTTTGTGTATAAATATATATATATGTAGATAATAATGAAGCTGAAGAAAAGATGAAATTTTACAAAGTTAAAAGAAAGAAGAAGAATTGTTAATATTTTGCGCATACATATACTAATACCACTAATACATTTATTCATAAACGCAAGTATGAATTATTGTGAGCGTGATGGTTGAAGAAATAAATAAAATGTATGTGGATTTTCTAATGGAAATCGCGGTAAAACACGTTGGACATTAAACAAGAGCTTTCTATCTATATCATTCTAATTCCTATTGAGTTTCCTTATTTAGCTTAAATACATGTGTGTGCAGGAGGTTTAAGTGGACAACAAACCGGATAATATCTTCAGATGTCACTAATAAATATAAATGTCATTTAATAACTTAAAAGTCTATTTAACTGTCAGTCATATTTTTAAGTAGTCATTATTATTATATTGAATACATTTAAGTTAATGATTAATTGGATATGACGATGGATTTAAATATTTAAACGGAAGAGTAGAACGTGATGGTGATGATAAATCAATTAACTACGTGATTCTAAAACACGGGCTACTTGAATTGTGTTATTATTATTAAACAGTAAATATATTAACATGATTATTATTTATTATTGTAGTGAGTCAATAATAATATTTATCAGTTACTAAATAAATATTTGTATGTTTATATTTATTATTGTGAATGTATGCTGTAGATCGTTGCATCAATTTAATATGCATCGTCATGTACGTTTGATTCATGACATGATAAATGTGGTTGGAAGCCGATTCGATCTGAAGGAATTTCTCGATTGGAGTTAAAAAAAAAGGCTTTAAATAAAAAATTTACGAATGAAGGAACGAATGAACGAACGAACGAAGATCATTGGACTGCTATGCTTATACTGGCCAGTACAGGAAGAACAAGAAATACCGATCAACTATAAAATCATGATAATAAAAATAAAAGTATTAATATAAAAGAGGTTTGATAGATAAAAACTATATATTATTGTTTACGATAATCAATATATCCTGAATTGTTATTTATATATTTATTTTTGGGAAATTTTAAGTAATAAACAAGTTTTAATCAGTTGGATTTAATGTTAATTATATGTCTTGCTAAAGTAAGCAATATATTTTTTTAATGACTTAAAAATCTTGAAATTTAATCTTTTATTTGAGGGGTCATTCTGCTTTGTAATTTTTTAGAAATAAGCTCATCCTGACATTACACTCATCAAGACCTTTCATTTGAGTACCCACATCAATTTTTCATATATTTATATATATATATATATATATTATATATATGTATATATGAAAAATATATCAAAAATGCATGTGGGTACTCAAATGAAAGCTCTTGATGAGTGTAACATTGGGATGAGCTTATATCTTTAAAAATGTCAATATTTAAGAACGTACAGTGCAATAACAACTTATATATTGAATAATATTTTATATTAATATCTACAATAGTTTCTATATACAAAAATTATGAACATTGGACCAGAATGACCTCGTAATTTTTGTAGAATAAAAGATTATTAACTTAAGTGACAGGTTGACATTTTTTAAGCGTAATTACAAAAGCATTTATCGCGAACTTTTATTTTGACGAGTTTAAATAGTCAACTTTCATTTTTTTTTGTTAATTGTTTAATAATGAACAGAGTAATTTGATGTTAACTGTAAGTATATATTATTTCTTGAGTCGTTTTGAAAGTGTCAAGTACACTTTCATTGACATTGTGTTTTTTATTGTGAAAAAATAGGCTTAAGTGAAGAGATTAGAGCTGATGTTATTACAAGAACGTGATGCTCTATTAACTGTAACAATAGATAATTGAAATTGAAACTAAAAGTAATTATAATTATCACATCGTAAAATAATTACTGCCTAATTATGATAAATATTTAAACAAATTAAAATAACGGCTTGTTAAATTAACTTTTTGTCACACCCATGTTCATTAAAACAATCTTTTTTTATAATTGTAAAATATTATAGCATAAAACTATGGATAAAAAATTTTAATTATGTAATTACTATGAATTATGTTTTCTTCAGAAGAATATTTAGAAGGTTGTAATAAAAATTTATTAGAAAAGATTTCATTATAATTCTAAACGTATGAGTTACGGTAATATTTCTTATGAATAATGTATTAAAAAAAAAACTTTTTAAATTTTTTATCCTCAGTTCTCACTATTGAATTTATGAATTTTTATTTTGGCAGGTATGGACGAAAAAAAAAAATTAAGTTGTGTTGAAAATTACGTGTTGAAAATTATAAATTAATAGCTTTATTAGACTTTTTTTCAATTGATGTTTATATTAAGTTTTTAGCTTGCCGTTATTATGTAGGTTTTAAATTATAAAATAAAAAAAATATGTGATTCGTAATTCGAGAACGTTGTAACAGACACACCTGTTTACGTTGTCCAGGTTGACTTTCATTCAAGTGAAACGCTGGCGATTGTTTGGAAAGGTGACAATTAAACAGTCAATGAACTCTGGTCAACTATTGTTATTTTCAAAATAATTTTTATTAAGTATTTCTTATAGTCTTTATTAAAATAATTTAAATTTTCATGAAGAAAACTAAAAATTGAATGATAATTTTTATTTAGAAAATATTCAATCCAATTTGACCTTCAAAAAGTGAATAAAAATGGAAACAAATAAGTCAACATTGATTGATAAGACCCGAAATTATTAAATATTTGAACAGACAATTTTTAAAAAGTTTGTTATCAGATTTAAATTGAATTTAACTAAAACTAATTTAGAATTTTTATCTTTATTCGGTAATTATTAATGAAAACCATTCATTAAAAATTTTATTTAAAAAATAAAACTTTTAAATAATAAAAAACAATCTACACTGATAGAAGGATTTATTAACTATTAATAATTTAATTTATTTGAAGACCATCATTAGCTTTTTTGGGAAGAAACAACATTTAATAAATAATTTATTAACTGCTAAAAAATATTTATTAAATCCTATGATGTTAAAAAATTATTTATTAACAGTTAATAAAGCTTATTAAATATAAACAAATCCTTCTATCAACGTACTAAAAGATGTTCCGTGATCAATTTTTCTCATTTTCATCTTAAAAAAAATCCAAAGTGCTATCAAGTGTCCTTAAACTTCAATGTTTAATATTAATATTTTATATTTTTAGTTTATTGGCTGTCCAGTCTAATACAACAATTTCTCGTAATATTGTTAGCCTGTATTTCTCTCCAGGCATAAACAATTTATCCTCAATTAATATCTAAATTTGTCATTAAAGATAAATTAGACTGAAAAAATAATTCGGACGGGCCCAGACCAGGACTCGAACCTGGATCTTTTGGTTACGCGTTAAAGGCTCTACCTATTAAGCTATCCGAGACACTGTCCATTCAATGTCATACTATTCAGCCAGCTATTAATGACAAAATCATGAATTGTACTTTTAATATAGTATGACGTTAATTTTTGATCTATAAATTTAATATTAATGTTATGGATTATGACAACAATAGACATGATTTAAGACTAAAGTACATTCTCGGTAAGTGATGCAGCATTAAAAAAAAAGATTATTTTTTTCAGATAACCCTAATCAATACAAAAACTGTCTCGTGAGTATTGTCTGGCTCGTTTGGAGTTGAAAATGATGGGAAGATCAACTGGATATAAATTTTCCTTGTCTTCTCTGTTAGACTGAAGACTTGAAAGAGTTAACAGTCGTGATTGGTATTACGACCATTACCAGAGCCCTGAAGTAGAAGACCTGAGTACGTAAAGTCGCGGAGGTGGATCTTGTGCACAGAAGAGAGAAGTTACTCGGTGGCTTCCAAGGCTGACTTGAGTATCTTATCTTTTCTACCGTATACATTTTCTCCTTGTTGTTTTCTCTCAATCTCCTCTCTTTTTTTTATCATCTCTTCACTCTTTACTCCTTACCTTTCTCACTCTACTTCATTCTTGTCTTCTTTTTTACTTTATATTTTTTTCACCGGGGCTAACCGCCTTCTCGAGGTCGTGCTCGTAGTTATCAGGAGCGCAATCCTGGGTTTATAGTTCTTCCTCGTAAATCATTAAGTCAAACCTACATATTTCTAAAAACTTTATTCGCCATTATCATGCTTTTTAAAATCTCTCTAAGTACTTTATTATAGCAAAAATTAGTCATCAAGTTAATCGAATTAAAGGCTTACTTTGCGTATGCTTTTTCGAGCAAAGCCGGCCAGAATTGGTCGCTATGACGGCTCTGGATGAAGGCAAGCCGACCGTGAACGGCTGGTAGACGATCATCAACCAGCACCTCCACCCATGCTCCGCACCACCATAAACGGAAACGGAAGACACCCGCATACTCTGCTGTCGGCGATCCAGACGCTTCTCCGAAGTTACCGAATCCCTGGTCTGCTGGTACTACTCGGTAAAATAAACCTTTACTTAGATGAAGGACTCCTAAACATGAGACGAGCCATTTGTCACCTGAAAAAGGGGATTAATTGTTGTTATTATCTATATTATTAAGAGAATAAAAAAAATTTTGTGGCCAGTGTATTTATATGATAAAATGGGTTTTTATGTCAATTTATGATGATAAATATTTTTGGTGCATTCGAAAATGCTCTATCTCTAGATACATAATTAAGAAATTACCCTGTATCTTGTGAACTATTGACATTTTTAAAGATATAAGCTAATCCTGATGTTACACTTGTCAAGACCTTTCATTTGAGTACCCACATCAATTTTTTATATATTTTTCATATATACATATATATAAATATATAAAATATATGAAAAATTGATGTGGGTACTCAAATGAAAGCTCTTGATGAGTATAACATCAGGATGAGCTTATATCTTCAAAATATATATTATATATATATGTATATATGAAAAATATATCAAAAATGCATGTGGGTACTCAAATGAAAGCTCTTGATGAGTGTAACATCGGGATGAGCTTATATCTTTGAAAACGTCAAATATTTTTTCTAAATCAAAAAAACTTTTTTTCAATAATTATTGTGAGATAAATTTTGGTTTCTTCTGCTAAGAAATGAAATTGTTTAAAATTTTTAACAAATTAATTTTTTATTACAATACTGTTCATTTTTTTCAACAGAAAATGATCGACATGCAGGAAATTTTCCATTTAAATTTACAGCTTACATAAGATATAAGAAATAAGAAACAACCAACATTTTTTGGACTTTTTACAGTGTTCTTAGAAAAGTTAAGGGTCTTAAGGCGTTATATAGTACTATAAATTTTAAAATGAATACTTTAAAAACCAAAAAGTACTACTTGTTCTGATTGTGAACTGTAAATTTTTACGAGAACGTCGCTCCATCTTCCAATGAGTTTTTAGTCTTATTTTACCATTATTTTAAAACATTTTACGCCAATAACTTCAACTCTGAACAAAATTGAAGGTTTAAAAACATGAATGTAAAAAATTAATTTGAATATTACATCCGTTAATTTATTCGACATGCCATTGACCTGATTGCTAGATTCATAAGTAAATTAGGATGAAAATTTTCAGTAATAAAAAAGAAGTTTCCAATCTTTCTTCTCTTTGCAAATTAAAAAAATAAAATTTATTCGCCTATTAAACTAACAAACAATCCAAAATTATTAACATAAGAATAAAAAGTAGCAATTTTAGCTTTGGAAAGTGTATACGTCGTAAAAAATGAGTAGTTGTTATTAATTATTAGTTTGCATTGTGATTTCTTCCGATAGTAAAATTTAAAACGAAACAGAGGATGGTAATTATTTATTACAAACAGTAATTTTCTATTTAAAACTTCATTTTTCTATTGTACACTGTCATTACCATTTTTTCGCATGAAAAAAAATCTACCTCGCAAATAAACTGTCTTTGGGCTTAACGGAGCAAAAATTTGTCCGAAAAAAGTATCGAATATCTTAATGTTGAAAAAAAAAAAAAATGGTCTATATCTCACGATCTTATTCTCGAAAGATAAAAACAAGTTTGTAAAAGTAAATCGAGCATAAAACAGATTAGACCTTCGAAAACGAAAGTCAGACTTAAAGTCACTGAATTTATGTTTAAATTTTTTATTTGCAATTTTATATTACTGTGTTAGACCAGACGGATTGAATAAAATAATGACTAATAACTAAAGCTAGAGACAAATGCCGTAGATAATTGAAGATTTATAGTAAACCATTAGGTCACAGCTCTTATTATCGTTTGATTACGTTTAGTTCTCTTTTATGCTTCGCTTGTATAAGTATAAAAGAGAACTCTATTTACCAGCACAGTCATACATTACTACACTACTTTCACTGTACTTAATATAACTGCAATGGACTGTTTATGTTCACTGTCTGATTGCCCCGAGGTGAGGACTAGAGACAAGTTAAGCAACGACCTGAAGAATCCAAAGTCAATTGTATCGGTGGGAAAATCCTTTGAATTTACTCTACTCTAATTTTTTTACTTCTTCATGTATAATTATATTTTTTTTTAACTTATCGATTTCAAAATCAAACATGTTTTACAAAAAAAACATTTTAATAATTTATTTTATAATTATAAAAATTAAAAATTAACAGTAAAATTTTTTTTTATTTATAAATAATTAATTTGTTACAAAAAAAAAATAACATCAAGAAATTTTTTTTAATTTATTATCACTTATTAACTTTAAATTTAATATTAATTTTTTAAACTTTTTTAAGTTTTTAACTTTTTAATTTAATTAATTTTAAAAATTTTTAACTTTTTAATTTTGTATTTTATAATTTTTTAATCACTTAAAAAATTTTGCGAAACGATTTGCAAGCTATTAAAATTTTAGAAATCAAATCGAAATTTAATCTTCATAATTTCACTATTTTATTTCTAATTCAACGAATAAAAGAAAATTTTCTATTATTTATAAACTTAACAGAAATTAACATACTAAAATTTCTTATAAATTGTGAGCTTTTAACTGACTGCACTTAATTTTCTATTTATTCTCAATTATGTTCCGCATGCGATTAAATTAACAGCAATAAATCTTTGAATATTTTTCTGTTTAAACACATCGCTTAAGAGATATAAAAAGCAATTAATAAATAGAAAAAAAATATTTATATAATAATTTTCACAATTTTCTTTCATTTTTTATCATACTCGAAATAATCTCTGTCGATGGTATCTTTGCAATGTTAAATAGTTTATTTCTAAAAGAGAGTAAATTGCAGAGCGATTGTCATTAGTAATTACCATTAAACATTAAAGTTTCATTTCTCAACCAACCAAAACATAAAAATCAATTTTATACTAAAATATTCAGTCGTATATTTTTATTTACCCGCATTAATTTTTTTTTATCTTACGAGCGAGATAATATAATAATTCCACGGTTATACCGATAGTACTTACTTTCACTAGTTACATTTCAACAGTTATAGTTATGATTTTATTCATAAATGTTACGATTTTTATTTCTTATCCGTTTTTTTTTTTTTTCCGCGTGCGTTATCGCTTAGTTATTATATGTACACATAAGCGCGTACTGAATTTTTGACACGTAGAAAGCCGGAAAACTTAGCACTCATATAATTTAATATTTTAACGAACATATAAGTCATAACTGGTAATTAAAGTTAAACAAAATTTAATAAAACTCTATTCGACTAATTAAATTTCATAGTACGCTTTCACTCATTTTTATTTATAAATTTATATGCAGTTTTTTTTTTTTTTTTTTTTCTAACGAACCGAATAAAAGTAGTTCAATATTTTTCTCTCGGTAAGAGCCCTAGGGCCTTTTTTGTCCCCGGTACTCGTGCAGGATAATTTTATTTTGTATTTTATCTAAATTACGCTTTTAGGAGAGAAATATTATACGGTGAGACTTTTTCAAGGTTCATAACACTTTTTTGTGTATATATGCTCTTATATTTAGCAGGAAAATGTTTCGAAATATTGTAACACATAATTATAAATTATAAATTATAAAATTCAAGAAAAAACTTTGCTATTAATTCATAAAAAAAAAAAAACTTTTAATAAAAACAACCATTACTTTTAAAAGTTTAGATGTGTATAAGAAGTGAGTGAAATTTTTAAAGATGATTTATAGAAGAAAAGTTCATAGTAATTGTAAGATATAAAAAGTAAAAAGATGTATTGTTAAATGAAAAATTACTAGTTGTAATAAATGATTATATGCTTGGAGAAAAACACTATTTGTATTTGAAATTTTTATTGATGATAGAAATTTAATAACCAGTGGGAAAATACAATGCAAATTAAACGTCATTGATTTTTTGTTTGTAAATTTCACTTTTATTAAATTAAATAAAATTTTTTTTAACTATAAAAAAATTTTTATCGAAAAAGCTCATTTTATTTTTAAAAATTTTTTATTAATAAAAAAAAAACTATAACAATAATTTTATTTTAAAAATATAAAAGTCTTATTGCGCTACAGTTTGTCCTCTTTGGTGCGAGAGAGAAAATAATTTCTCTTTAGAAGGTTCGAGTAAATCTTACAGAAAAACACTTTTTTGTTTTTATTTTCATTAATACATACTTAATAATTTATTATAATTAAATTCTAACGAAGAATAAAAATTATTAAGTTTTCTGAATAGAATTCTTTAGTTTTAAATCATATTTCTTCATTAATTAATTTTTTTAAACGTGTATAGCTTCTTATAGAAGATTATATGCAATTTATTAAAAGTAAAGTTATTAAAATTGTCACTTCTGGCGGTAGTTCTGCAGCGCTCGGAACAAAAACAAATATTTACATTAGTTTTAATATTTTCTTTTATTATTTCATATAACAATTGTTATTCATAAAAGCTGACACAATCAAATGATGAAAATGGACAATAATAATCCCAAACAATCGATTATTTCTTCATCCAACCTCAAACACACTCTTTCAGTTTGTAGGTTATCGAGTCATCAATACAAAAACTTATTCCTATTATTCGTATGTCAAAATAATAATTATCGTCTTCTCATAAATCACTCCCCGTCCGCCCAATGGCCTAATGACGTAATGAAGTGAAAAGTAATTAAAGGTTACATTAAAAATAAAAGAAAGTATTACACGCGGAAGCAGTTGAGGTTAGATTAAGCTTACAGTGCAAGGTTATGTTGATTTATTGGCATATGATCCTGAAGAAATAGCCTCAAGTGTTTTAAGAGTATAATAATACTTATATGAAGAAGAACAATCTTGATAATTATACTCAGTAGCTTATATACTAAGTATAAAAGACATAAATGCGTCTAATTTTCCATTTAAATTTCAGATGCCGATCTATCAATCAGCAATAATCGGTAGTCGACATCAGCAAAGTGATAAAAAGAGATAATTGATAACAACAATAAATTAATTGAAAAATAATAAATAACGATATAATTAAATGGTTTTTATAGTAGACAATAGACGCGTGACTTGATTTAAAGCCGGCTATAAATAGGATAAGCATCTTAACTTTAATGATATACTTTTTGATTCATGACGCTATTCATCGGTTATGCGTAAGCGTTAGATTATTTTTATTTATTTTTTTTTGCTTCTAGTCCTTTTTCTGAGCTTCATACCCGCGCAAACTATATCATTACGCGCTATCGCAAAACATTCCGCGGGGCACGTTACCGAGGATATAAAAAGGACCAAACCGGAACGACCCGTTCTGTATAACTTTTTTTATTATTTTTATTATTTATTCGTAGCTTCTACTGCTTTAGCTTCGTGTAAATTTTATTTGCTTCTTCTCTTTCATTTCTCCATCTTCTTCACCGGGTATCAAGACTACACACAACTCTCCTCCTACTCAATTTATTTATCTTCTCTTCCTTCATCTATCCACCCGGTTATTTTTATTAATAAAATATTTTACCCACGTTTTCCCGAGTCGAAATCTCCAACGTTTTTCCAACGTTTCCAATGTCTCAAACGCGATTCCAACGTTTCCAACGTCTCAAACGTGATTCCAACGTTTCCAACGTTACAAGCGTTAATTCAATGTTTTGAGCTTTACAAATAAATAAATATATATGTAGACATGAATGATAAAAAATTTATATAGTGTATAGTGATCATTTTATAAAAATTTTTTGAAATGTGTTTTTTTATGGAATTACTTTTAAATTCACCGATCAATTCCAAAATCTAATCAACTCTTGAGATCAAAAAACCACGTCGATCACCGGAAGCCTAGTAAAATCGGAAAACCGGAAAATCGGAAAACCGAAAAAAATGTTTTTTCGGAATTACTTCGAAATTCCTGGCTTGATCGATTTAAACTTGATTTCGTTTCGTCAAATGCCGCCAACCACGTAAAAATCGCTTGATTCATTCAAAAGTTGTGGCAGTTTGAAAATTCCAAAAATGGTGTTTTATTAAACTTCGATCAGATTTTTGAGCTCGGGAAGCTCAAAATGACACGAAAATTATATTTTGAGCTCAAAGGGCTTTAAAACTTAATAAATGAAATTTTGAGCGCTTAAGTATAGAATTAGCCGGAAGTTGGAGGGATGGCCTTTAGGGTCAATCGTTTTCTTAATTTTTTTGACTTAGAAATAATGAATTTTTATTGTAACTAAATTTATTCCATTCGGTTGTCATTTGTTTAAAATAAATTTATTAATTCTATTGGTTATGTTTATGGAGTATTTTAAGCCAAATCGACCACTTTTGAACCCGACCCCTTGAGATTTAGCTGATACTTTA